CGGTTCCGGTTCTGGGGCTGGCTCTGTCTGGGTCTCTGGGACTGGATCAGATTGGGGACTGTTGCAGATGTTGGCATGGGGTCCGGTTCCATCACCTCTGACCAGGTCCTGGTAGAAGTTTCTGAAACAGAGCTAGGCGTGACGGCTTGCTTAGCCTGGCTGCGGGTGATCATTCCCACCCTCTTGGCTGACTTCACATGATTGGTCAAGTCTTCCCCCAACAGCATGGGGATGGGATAATCGTGGACTTTTGCAGTCTATGATGTTCCTGACCAGCCCTGGTACTGGACAACTTGGCTGTAGGCAAATTGAAAGAGTTGAACTTGAAGGATTGACTCATCACTTGGATCTCTGCGCTGATTAAATTGGGGTCCACTAAGGAAGCATGGATAGCTGACACTTGTGCTCCAGTGTCCCTCCACGCGGTGACCTTCTTCCCGCCCACACTCACAGTTTCCCTCCGCTCCGAGGGTATCTGGGCCTGAGGACCTCTGGTGTAATTCCGGTGCAATGAACTGTAATCTATTGGGGTTGTTGGGGCAGTTGGCTTTTACATGCCGTGACTCATTACATTTAAAACACTGTCCAGATGACGGATCACTGGGGCGAGGTGGGTTGCTGGAGAACGGTGTGGCAGGACGATAAGGTGTCTGGAGGGTTCCTTGGGGGGGTAGTTGGGGCCTTGGGCTGCCCCCAGTAGTAGGGTGTGATCTGAGGGTGTCACTTCTGGTATCCGCTCCAACTGTGACCAGGGTTGTTCCTCTCTCCTCCCTCCACCCGTTTTGGTCCGGCTCGCCCCGCCTCTCTGGCGGTCTGGGACTGCTTGTATCGATCAGCATAAGAAGCAAGACTTTCTCCGAGTCCATTTCCTTATCCCACAAATACTGTTTTATTTCCTCCTTGGACATATTCAAGAATTGCTCTTGAGCTATCAAATCACACATTCCTTCAAAGCTAGTGACACCCCTTCCTTGGACCTATTTATCTAACAGATCCTTCATCTGGTTTAGATAAGCCACATTACTTACTCTGTAAGTTTCAGGTGTAATTTGAAATTGCTTTAAAACAAAATCCTTGAACTTATTATAGTTAGAAGCCTCATCAATAGGCCTCTTATTGAATATGTCCAGAGCCCTTCCAGTCAATTTTGTGACCAATGTGGTCATCTTGTGAGCTTCAGGAATTTTATGTAAAGTGCACAGTCTCTCAAAGGTGAGAAAATATTCAGCAATATCACTGGATTCATCATACTGTGGACATAGTCGCTCCCATTTGTGGATTGTTGGGGAAGGATTGTTAGGGTTATCCAGTAGATTCCGCTCAGCCCTTACCTTCTCCAACTCCAGTTCATGCTTCCTCTTTTTCCTTCTCCATTTCTTTTTCCTTTGCCTCCATAGCTCTCCTGTGGGAAGCCTCTTTGGCTGTTTCTGCCTTGGGCTCTGTCATATTTCCCTCTCTGTTTTTAACTAAATTTACAAGAGTTAGAAATAAAAAAAACAAACTAACGAACAAAACTTGCAAAAAGAAAAAGGAGTACTTGTGGCACCTTAGAGACTAACCAATTTATTTGAGCATGAGCTTTCGTGAGCTACAGCTCACTTCACGAAAGCTCATGCCCAAATAAATTGGTTAGTCTCTAAGGTGCCACAAGTACTCCTTTTCTTTTTGCGAATACAGACTAACACGGCTGTTACTCTGAAACAAAACTTGGCTTGTCAAAAAAAAAAAAGGTTGTGCTGTAACCTGATACCCATGTTCTCCGATAGTGATTGTCAGCCTGCAGAAAAATTCTTAAAAAACAAACTAACACCTTTTTCTCCAGGCAAATAGACAGAAAAACGCTCTAGTTGCTCTTAGCTAAAAAAAAAAAACTTCACGTCTGTGAAGAACTTGTGAATTTCCCTGCAGGAGGTTAAGTACCCTGCCTTTAGGCAGAGAAACTCCAGGTCACAAAAGACAAATCCCTTTTGTTATGCTTGAATCTTTTAAAATCCTTCTGTGCTTCTGGTTCAAAAAAAAAAAAAAAAAAAAAAATCTCAATATGATTTCAAATTAATCCCACCGCTCTGCCACCATGTCAAGGTTCCTTCCCCACTCTGAACTCTAGGGTACAGATGTGGGGACCTGCAGGCAAGACCCCCTAAGCTTATTCTTACCAGCTTTGGTTAAATGCTGCCACCACCAAAGTGTTAAACAAAGAACAGGGGGAAGTGCCCCCTTGGAAACATATCCCCCCACCAAAAAAAAAACCCCTCAAGCACTACACCCCCTTTCCTGGGGAAGGCTTGATAAAAATCCTCAACAGTTTGCATAGGTGAACACAGACCCAAACCCTTGGATCTTAAGAACAATGAAAAGCAATCAGGTTCTTAAAAGAAGAATTTTAATTACAGAAAAAGTAAAAATCACCTCTCTACAATCAGGATGGTAAACACCTTACCATTAGGATAATCAGATTCAAAACACAGAGAATCCCTCTAGGCAAAAACCTTAAGTTCCAAAAAGACACAAAAACAGGAATATACATCCCATTCAGCACAACTTATTTTATCAGTCATTTAAACAAAACAGAATCTAATGCATATCTAACTAGATTGCTTATTAATTCTTTACAGGAGTTCTGACCTGCATGCCTGCTCTGGTCCTGACAAAAGCATCACACAGACAGAGAGAACCCTTTGTCCTCTCCCCCCAGCTTTGAAAGTATCTTGTCCCCTCATTGGTCATTTTGGTCAGGTGCCAGCGAGGTTATCTTAGCTTCTTAACCCTTTACAGGTGAAAGGGTTTCTCCTCTGGCCAGGAGGGATTTAAAGGTGTTTACCCTTCCCTTTATATTTATAACAATGGGTATGTCTTCAGTGGACCCTGGGTTTTAGCCCCGCCACCCTTACCCATCCCATCCACCCAGAAAACCATCCGACCAGGCTTCAGAGGTGCTCTAAGCCTGGGCCAGTTTACATGGCTGGGTGCTGAGGTCAGTATCCCAGATTTGGCTGGCACATGTCCACTTTGCAATGAGGAAGCAGGTAAAAATCCAACTCACTCTGCTGAGAGTCCTTCCAGCACACCCCACAGTTCCTCATGAGGGACAGGCAAGTTGTACAATTGACAGGGAAAGAATCCTAGAGCATTTCAGCACAAAGAAACATGGGGTATGATCCCAGATATACACTGACAAGAGCAGAAGCAATGAGGACATAATATTACAGGTAGTGACTTGCTGTGGGGATGCTCACAAATGGACTAGACTAACCCTCATACAAATCATGCAAGTTAACAGTGCAGCGAAAACCTATCCTATGTGACCTAAACAACAGTAGCTCCAAAATATGCGACCCGCCCTAACCTCTTCCTTTCATTAAGGTGTTACAAATTTTATTTCTCATAAGAAAGGAGAAGGAGTTTTACAGAGATGTAGTGACTCACTTTAAGTGGCTGGCATTTGAGAGAGGACCCTCACTTTCTTTTTTAATCCAATCAAAGAAAGTTTAGTTCAGTCCATCAGCATAGTTAAAGGCCACATCTACACTAGTGAGCTGACCGCAGTGACAGTACAAGATCGCTCCTGTAGCCACTCTATGCTAGGAGGAGAGAGCTCTCCACTCAACATAATAAAACCACCTCCACAAGTGCCAACCGTTCTGCACACTCCAGGGTTTCTGTTGGTGTAAGTTATGTCGCTCAGGAGATGCGTTTTTTCATACCCCTGAGCAAAATAAGTTATACTGACAAGTGGTAGTGTAGACAAAGCCTAAGACTAGCTTAGTGGTAGTGCAGGTATGGCCGAAGACCCATCTAAGGAAACCTTAGCTCAGAGTCCAGTAGAGCTCTCACATGATGCACAATCCACAGTGAATGTGGCTTCTTATTCTGGTGATTCACCTGGGTGAAGTTTGGAAAAGTACCCCCACCTTTTTTACACCCAAAGTCTGCCCTTTGCTCACCTTAACTCACACAAACTTACGTGATCCAATTTTTAAGGGAAGTTATCTGTGTTCAAGATAAGGCAGTTATAACCACCTTTGTAAATAAAATTAGTTACTTCAGTTTTTCACAAATTTAATCTGAGGTGCTGTAATCCCTTCAATTGTAAAATTACAACAGCTTTCATCTTCAGTGCCTAAGAAACCAATCTAGTTGTAATGTTAAAGAGCTTGGTGGGTCACAGCTTTAGCTCCTTTACAAAAAGTAGAAATACAGCAAAGTCCCAAACATTTAAGGAGCAACTATATTCCTCACAAGAAGAAAAAGAATTAAGAAGTGCCTTTGACCAGCACAAGTGAATGTCTAGGAGCAGAATTAAGCTGCATGAAGTCGGAATTAAAGTCTGATCTTTCTTCCAGAGCATTCCCCAATGCATCACTCTGCAACACAGGAGGCGTCAGCATCTGTCAGCATGGAACAGGAGCGTTTCAATGGAAAGCGCTCTGGAAGCGGACGCACACCAGACACCAACGCGGCTCTGCTGGGAGGTCACTGGGGATGAACTCCGACGCCTCAGTTTTTTTCAACATGCCAGAGCAAGTAACCCGGAGTTGCCCCCAAGACCAGCACGACCACCCGGATCAGCGCCAGGCTCACTGAGCAGGAAGCGTTTCCGGTCAAGGCAGCGAGGACTCTGTCAGTGCCTTTCAGCGGCGCCTGCAGGAATCCCACGACGCCTCGCTGGCGCGCGACGCTCCTCCTTAGCCCTCAACTCCGAGGCTCCATGAGCATCATCCCCCGCCTCGCGCTGCCGAAGGGCCCCCCGGGGCAGGGCAGGACACCGGCAAGCGGCCCTCCCGCCTTATGACACCTGGCCCCAACGAACTGGGGATGAGACCCATCCACCCCCTGGGGCCCGCGAACACAGCGCGGCTGCCGGGAGCCTGCCCCAAGGGACACCGCCGCCCTCCGCCCGCACCAGGTCAGGGCTCTCGCCCGCTCTCTCCTGCCAGGTCATGTCACCTCCCTCCCTCGCCGTCCCCACCCCCGTAGCCCCGCTCCCGCGGAACCCTTACCTAGCTCGGCTACCCTCTTGCCTCCGCCTAAGCGCGTAGTTCGGACTCCAACAGAGTAACCGCCCTCCTCTTCGCCCGCTAGTACCTCAGAAACCTTCCCGGCACCCCCCGCGCCCATCGCTCCTCGTCACATGGCGATGACAGCCCCACCCCCTCCTCTCTTCCCCCGCCCGCTCTTGACTCGCCTCAACTCTGCCCCTTTCACGCCCACTCACTCACTTCCGCTCCACTTCCCTCCCCCTCCCGCAACTTCCTGTCCCTCGACGGCATCTCCTTCCGGGTTCGCCTGCCGCGCGGTGCATTGTGGAGAGCAACCTCTTTCCCTCCCCCCTTCAACCCACCGAGCCCCCTTGGGGCGCATGCGCAGTAGCAGCCTCCCATCTTTCTCCTAGGCAGAGCCAGAGCCTCAGCAGCAGTAGCAGCAGCAGCAGCTGATGATGAAGAGAGAGGGGGAGACTGGGGGACCTTTTATTTATATTGTTAAAGGGACAGAGCACTAATTCCATCTTGAATTGGTGTGTGGGGAGGGGGAGGGGGTTGGTGTGAGGGGCCTGAGTTTTTCCCCCCAGCCCAGCCCAGCCCAGCTCAGCTCAGCTCAGCTAGAGGATCCCAGGGAGACACAGAGAGAGAAGGAGAGTTTCTTCCCCCCACCCCCCTTGGCCGTCAGAGGAGAGAGAAAGAGACCAAAAGCCTCTTAGCAACAGCCCCTTCTCCTCTCTCTGCTGCTGCTTGGCCCTGGCTGGAGACACCTCACCACACACACACAGAGGAGCAGCAGCCAGTTCACCAGCTCCCCCACCTCCTGCTCTCCCCTCCTCCCCCTTTATTACCCTTTGTGTGTGTCTCTTTCTCCACTGCTCCAGGGAAGGGAATAAAAGTGGGGTGCAGCCAAGGTAAGTGTGTTTGTGTGTGGGGAAGCAATACCTTCTCCCAGCTCTGTCTCTCACTCTAGGGCAGACAGATTTGGGGGCTGAAGGTTGGGAAGGTGTTTGTTTTCTGGATCCATCTTTTAGCTTTGATGATAGTTTGATTGTTTACTGGTTTGACAAAGTGGCTTATTTTTTCCTGCTCCAAATGAAACACTTCAATTTTGTGTTTTACTCTAAGCTTGCTGCCCCTCTTTGGGAAGAAGATATTATAGTGTTCATATCTGTCACTTTTTACTCACTCTTTGAGGAAGTGGAAACCTTTCTCCATGTCCTGCCTCAGTTTTATTTCTTTTTCAGTGTATAAGGAAATGTCATGGAGTAGATGATGATCAAGCGTTGCTAGTGGTACTCTCAAGTGGGTTTCAGTATCACCCTCTTTTTAGAGCTGCTTCTGATTTGGGAATTTGCTGTTTCTGGGAGTAGTATTTGTCTTGTGGTTTTCATTGGTAGTTGTCTTTTTAATAAATAGTTTTTCTTTGTAGAGAGGTAGGTCAAGTGTTAAAAGGTGTTTTGGCCAAGGTTTGTTTTATTTGTGATTTCTTTCAAAAGGGCTTGTATTTCCTGTGTCAAAATAGGAAATTCAAAAGACAAAAAGAATAATATAGAGCTGGAAACCCTTTGGAATTTATCTGTCTTTGTTTTGTGCAGTTGGATGTTGCTATTGTTAACAGTCTGAATAACTGAACTTAGTTACATAATCATTAAGGCCCTGATCCTACAAAGATTTATGTACTTGCTTAACTTTAAGCATCTGAGTAGTCCCAATATGGCACTACTCTAATATGTAAATATTAGCAAGATCAGGGCCTATGCAATAAATCATCTCAATACTTAGTTAGAATAAACAGTTAGCTCTTGTTAAAATTTTTATGTTAATTTTTTTTCATGGTTTTCTGATAGGAAGGCCAAACTTCTCCAGCAGTATTTGTGCTGCACTAAATAGTTGTCTGGCTTAGGTACCAGTTTCAGTTTTAACTAGCCAGTTTCTTTGTTAATGTAAGATTCACATGTCAAAAAATCTGAGTTTTGTATAGCTTAGGTTGACAATAAAACTTATGAATATATTTTCAGGAAAACATCAGAAAAGTCCTTTTAGAGTCATAAAAATCCATAAGAAAGAGTTTAGGAGTTAATGATAAATTGGTTTTATATTTCAATGTCATCTCTTTTACAAAAAGGACACTTGTTTTAAAAAAACACTGTTGTCTGCGAATAATTTGTTTGTTTTTTATGTAACTGTCTTTAAAAAAGAGAACTATGTGTTATTAATTTAGTAAATAATGCAAGGTATTTCTGGACTGTGAGGTAGGCCAGGGATTGTACATTTCAATGGGGCATCTCAGCAAAATGTGATTCAACTTGATATATGCATCTTTATCCCCTATTTGAAGAGGAATACACAAAAAAAGCCTTCACTTGTAAATGCTTTATTATCTCTGATCCCATAATTTGCATCATCAAAAAACAGTTTGTTTAAAGCAGCAATTTCATGTTCAAGCTGGCAATATGAAAACAGCAATTTGATCAGGTTGGAAAGGATTGGAGAAAAATACATTTAGAAGGATACTTGACAAATATTGTGAGAAGAGATTGGAGTAGCAAATGTTGCTATGTTCTGTAGAATTGTCTTCCTTTTTGTTTTCTATTTAGCTTATGAAGACAAAACAACTTTCTATATTCAGAACTATTTAAAAAATGAAATTTGTAAAGTAATATTTCTTTTAAAGATCAGCAAATATGTATAGGAGCTCATTCTTGAAAACTGTGGTTGTCTATTTATTTTATTACAAGCAACACTGGAAACACACAACTAAAAGCTTATCCAGGAATAACATTTTTTCATGTTTCATACCAACCTATCATCAAATAGTTATGTTCTTACTCTGAGTTACCGTTGATGTGTTTCATCTGTACATAGAAACCTATACTATGTTCAAGATTATGTCCCCAATATCAGTATTATTTCAAGTCCATCTGCAATTTATTGTGCAAACACGGATATTCAGATGGAGAATTTGTTATTTATGACATAGGGCAACACTTTCTTTATTGGTTTAATGTTAAAAAATATGTAAATTACACTTTTTAAACTGATTGCTCAGTAAAAAATTGAGTAAAATTTCTAAAATCCCAGTTTTGATTTGTTAATCCAATATCTTGACAGATTCTTCTCCATAGAGAGGAACTGTGTTTGAAACCTCAGCTTTCTTAGGCCCTGATCCTACAGTCAGGTCTGTGCTGGCAGACCACCACTGATTCCACTGAGGCTTATCTTGTGGAATATAGGTCCAAGGCCTTAGATAATAATCCATTCAGAGCAGGGACAGTCTATTTCTGTGGCCTATAGTGCACTATACTGCAAGAAGGCCTTAACTCTAATACGGGTTCTCAGGATGCTGCCATAATATGAAATATTCAATAATTTTCTAAGAACTGCATCTGTCAACTGGAATTATGGGAAACTGTTAGGAACCAACAATTATTACTAAGTAGCAAATTTTTTTGTTCTGTTTTTAAGTCTTTGTGCTAGAATCATAGGAAAGTAGTCAAGATTCTTGATTGCTTTTTAGGCATTGAGGAACGTTTATGTATTTTTCCCTATTGCTTAACTGGATCATTTGTATATCCAACATTAGTAACTATTTTTATGTCTCTTATTTCTTGTCTTTACCAAAAACGTGTGTCTGGAGAGTTAATTTTGAATTTATAAGGAATCTACAATGACTACATATAAGATATACTAGATTAACAACAAGGAAAACATTTAAAGGTCTTGTTCAGGCCAGACTTGTACCTCGGTATTTTTAAATTCCAAATTATCGGTCTTTTCTTGCTTATCCAGTACTAAGTTGGCGACCGTTTATTGGTTTGCTAGTTATTTTAGGTAAGCATGTTGATCTTCATTTTAATCAGGTATAAATGTTTTTGTAAAGCAGTGTTATTTTTCCCCTTAAACAAAAGTTGTTACCTTTCTGCGGTCCTGACCCTTGCTCTCTTCATTGGGAGTTTAGTGTTCTCTGAATCTCTTAGGAAAAACTGAGCCTTTGTGGGATCATTAACAACTTTACTAACAAAAAAACTGTCTGTCTTGTTTTTCACTCAGGCTTTTTGTTACTAATCTGTTAATAGACTGTTTCACTATATTCCTCACAGTGATTTTATGTAAGGAGATCAGCGTTCAGGAACGCTAGTCGCTTGAACGCAGCCAGTAACTACAATGTTAGCTTGTGAATCAGCATTGAGTCCTTGACCTCACTCCTGCAAGCTACTCTTTGGTGGTAGACCCTTGTGCCCATGTGGAGTTGCATTGACTTCAGTGGGGCTTCATGCAGTGTAAGAGCCCACAAGTGCAGGTTTCAGAATAGGGGCCTTAGTTATAAATCGCCTAGGGTAAAATTTTCAAAAATGCCTACGTATCATTTTCAAAGTGATTTAGACACTTAGAAGCCAAAATCTCATTAACTTTCAATGAGACTTAGGAGATAAGAATTTAAGTCACTTTGAAATTGAGACTTGGGCCCTTAGTCACAGAGGCTTTTGAAAATGCATTCCCTGATTTTGTTTCCATTGAAATCAATGAGAGTTTTGACAGTCACTTCAACATGAGCAAGACAGCTCATAATAGAGAGCCTTCTTTACTTTTCATTTGTTAGTGTCTGTAAATATTTTTTTCAAACTGTTACCTGGAGTAATATTACTCATACAGCTGCCAATAATGTTAATTTAGCCTGTATAAGAAGCAAAATACACATTAGTTGTTAAAAGGAACATGAAATTGTACAAAAAGGTTGGAGACTCAGATCTCACTCCTGTAATACTTAAGGGGTTTCATTGTTTAAGTACAGTTAACGCAAATAAGTTGTGCTAATGTTTTAACTAACTCAAGCAGTTTTGATCCCAAATCATTCTTTGATTGTTAATTACATTTATATAGTATCTATTTTTAGATTAACCACCTAAAAGTGAGAGGAAGGTTCAGGCCTTACACTCATGAATTCATTAGCTTCTTTGCTAAGGCTGCCTAAACAGAGTGAAGTGTAAGATAATTATGAAGTTGTGTGTGTATATATGCATTTGTGTGTATATAAACATTTCTTAAATTATTCTTAATCTAATTTCTGGTTATGATGGCTGAAGTTTTTTTTTTTTTTTTAAAGAAAACTGTATGGCTCAGGGAGTTGGTAATGGAGTACAGAGTCTTTCATATCT